TTGCAGACAGAGGTCGTGTTATTATAACCTTCTGATAGCATCGGTACAAATTCTGTAAATATACTAACTCTTAATAATCCGTTCTAGTCGTGCGATAATTTGCCATGATATAAACGATAAGTGTCAACTCAACAAAATGTTTCGAAGAAATTTCATAAAATTTGTTAATGAAAGATTAATAAATCGATCTCCTATTGAAATTGTAATTACCAGATTCATTTTCCATACTTTCGTACTATATTAGTTAACTAATGGCATCCCAAATTCACAGTTAGTATATAAATATTTCTATGTTACATTAATACTAACAGTTCGGACACCAATATTATGTGAAATCATAACTAATTTACATTTAAATTTTTAATCAAAAACAGTTACTAAATATCTTTTCTCTGCTATATATTCCTCGTTAATATTACATTTAATAGATATAGTTGAATTAAAATTTTTACTCTTATTACTATTCTTTAATCGTTATTTATTAAAATTGCGACATCTGCGGCACAAGTCATTTATGGCCGAACACAATATTTTGCTGTTTATAGAACACAATTATCAAGTCGTTGACAGCAAGGCAAGTTGACAAACTGCTGAAGAATAATTTTTCGACACTAGCTTGCAGATACGACAGTTAAATATATTATTCGTGACGTTTATCAATGAGGGGCTTTGACGATGTGGTAGTCGGAAGGTCAAAGGACGAAGACATTGCGTGGTGTTCGTTGCATTATCAAACGCGAGCGCAACTTGTCCTTGCGACATTGAGTCTAGACAACTGTGTCGCAATTACTTCAGATAGTTTATCTTTACTCGTGGCTTATTCAACTACTTCTTAATGAACTGCTTCCTTAACATCATTCACACACATCACGTTTTATTTCACAAAATCCTGTTTACACTCTAATCATTTCTCTAAATTCGACTCACTATCGTTTCTTCCTACAATTTGATAAGATTCAGTTCATAATAATAGATATGTATATATAAATATAAAATCTGTTGTTTTTTCATAGTCCAAGGTCGCATCAACTTCTTGGTTATTAGCGATCATAATTAGTAGGCAATTATTCTATATCCCACAATAACGGTTTTGTTGAGGTTTTCTTTATTTTTCTTTCTGTTTCTGTATTCACTTTACTACATAATAAAGTCGGTATTATCACGAACTTTCAGACAGCGGACAGTACAACAGCCAGACGTTGGGTCAGTCCGGACCTACGGTAAAATACTTTTTGTATGTGTTCCAACACAAACTTCATGTCAGAATTTAACAATATATGCTTGCTAATTATTTTTCTTCGAGAAATTCTATTATAATGTAATAATTTGAAGGAATAGAAGATAAATTTGTATATTATACATACAGTATTTATTTTATTTTTATAGAACGACAGATTTTAGGTGTTTCCTAGAACGATCATACAAACATCACAATTCCATGTGTATACTATGTTGTAAATTTTGTTTTTTTCGGGCAGTAGAGCCATAATTGTGACATAAAATAGTCTGTACACGTGGGTCACGAGTGACCCGAAATTCTTAAAAGAAAATTTTCCGATATTGATTGCGTCACAATCTAATTGCACGATTCTTAATTATGTAAATTGATTCATTCTAGATCACCTGCCATAATTGCGTGTAGCGCTCGCAATGATCACTTTGACGACTTATTCGATTAAATTAAAACTGACACAACAATTAGCGAAGAATATGATGGAACAAAAGTGAATTTTGTGAAAAAAAGAATACCGTCAAACAAGAGTATTATGTATCCAAATTTTTATATAACAATTTTGAGTAGACCGTGAAATTCATTTATAATTTGTTTTTACTTATTGTTTTATTAGAATTTATATCACATTATTACTTATTATGTATAATTCACAGTTTTTTGGGACTGGTGAATGTTTATGACCTTAAAAAGAAATAGCACTTTAAATTCAAAATGACTTCATGACGTTTTGCTTGGTAAACATGTTGCAAGATCGTACTAATTTGGCAAACAAGAAAGTTTATTGGGAATAAAAATATTATAAACAATTGTTACAAGGAGGAATGGATATCGAGGTGAACAAAGTAAAACTACTAGAAATTACTTAGAAACAGGACTTAGGGGAAAAGCTCAATTAATTAAAATGAAGATAAGAAAATAATTGATAATCATACTACTTAATTGGATAAACCCATTTGTAGATACTGGAAAGATAATTCGTATCAAATAAAATACTTTTAACAGTTTTAGTAACCATTTAAGAATAATCTTATTAAACAGTCTGTAGGTCAGTTTTAATAGTTAATTACGGTAACTACGAATGTTTTTTTAATAAAATTTATATAATAAATTTTCTATAATTCGTAAAAATTTCTTCCCAACTTACAGAAAATGTATTTCACTTAAGCACCGTTTCACTAAGCATGTATGTATTCGAATAAATTATTTGTTATTAATAGATTTCATAATAAGGGAAACAGTCAATTCTGTTTTTATTACTTTCATTTATGTTTACTTCATATGAACAACCTTAACATGAACAGTATATTATTGAACATATATTATATGAATACTATCAGTTAGTATTAAGTTTCAAGATCATTGTAAAATTTAATATCGCAAAACATTGTTCGAATGAATGATTATGCAAACATTTACTCGAGCATAAAACTCTATTAATATCGTAAGGAGGCCCCGCCTTACCGTTTAAATATTTTAAGTACTTAAAATTCCTTATAAAAAAATCATGATTCTGCCACATCATGCAGCAATTACATGAAATGTCTACAAAGACCAATGATTTATTCATGTCGCAAAAGTAGTACATTCTTATGTTAAATAAGTTCTTCTGTTCGTTCGAAAAAACGACTGTCTGGATTACTTCATTTGCATCGAGTGCATTATAACAGTAAATTGTACACCTTCTTAACACAATCAGCAATTAAGAGAAATTGTCTCTTGAACTTCAAGTGGCGTGACTTATTTTACAATTACGGACGCAGTTAATTAACATTCGGAGAAAGAATATCCAGTACATACGAGTGTCATATTGTACAAGTAATAACAGATTACTCAATAATTAAATTATTCTACAAAATGGCTGACAATATCAGACACGAAGATAAATACATTTGATAAAGATTAAATTATCGTCCAATGTTTTGAAAATTAATGGACGCCGTCGTTTTTGTGAAATCACACAATCCATACTTTAAACACTCCTTTATTTAGAGATTACACATTACTTTATTGTTAGTAACTGTTCCGGTAATTATACAAATGATATATTTCAAAATTCGTGCATTTTGAACATGGATTAAATCTATGTAACGACACACCTACCACACTTATTAAATGGTTCCATTCGCCACTTTTACGAAAACAACTCCCCATTATTATAATATAAATCGATATAACATAAACTAAGTGATACGTTCTACAAATGAAGCTCGGTCATTTTCACAGTGATCGGTAAAGTTATTCAGAAATGTCATTATTTTTCTCCAATAATTATTCAATATACTTTCATCGCTTATGGTGGTAAATAGCTATGCATGATTGAACCTAATAAGTATTTTAAAATTCGTAAATTATTTGAGTAGTATATATAGACAAATGGTATTAATTATTACTATTAAGTTACCAACATTAGAAAATATTTTAAATATAGTATTCTTAATAGTGTTAATACATGTACTTGATATGCTTGTAAGATTAAGCGTTAATATCTACACATATGAGTATACCTATGTTAATTTTTTTAGTTAAATTCAGTACACTTACAATCATATCATTAGTATTACGTGTATGTTTTTCTATTCTTATGACTGTTCAACAATTACTCTATACATACTTTTTCAGAATAAAGTCAAGTGAACGTTTAAACAGACTTTTATCAATTTAATGTTACTACTGACGCAAGCTAGTATTTTTAACTTCGTAGAACCTATAATAGAAGCGATAAATGCCTTTTTGCTAGTCATTTTCATGAATTAGACGATAAGAGAATAGATCTGCATAAACAAAGCTGCAAATATATTTGCTCCTTAAAATACGTAGTAGTGTTCAGTGCTACGCGCAAAACAAATAGTTCGGGACAGAGCTATGCGTAGATTTCTTTGAAAAGCATGATGTAATTACGGGAGCAATAATAACTAACCAGCTAAAGATCTGGTAGTAAACTTTTTATAAATAAGATGCAAAATGTGTTGTTTGATTTAAAACGGATTAAGTGACGACCACACTCTCTGCACAGAGAACGTTATACTTATATTATGTAGTGAAGTTCTGACTGAATTGATGCATTAGTTTTACAAGAATCGTATATTCTAAATATTAAATACTGCAATATTTATAATTACGTAAATATAATAATGTAATAAGGGGGAATTAAACTAATTAAACAATATAATAATGTAAAGAGGGGGTATTAAACTAACATGATGTTTTATTAATATTTATTAATTGAAAAATAGCCACAAAAAAAATATAGATTAAATTTTATTTTCTTATCTTATCATTAATGGGAAGTCTGCGTCTGCATGTCTCCAACCAAGAGTTTATAATTTGGTGTGAGAATCAGTAAGTAGGGAACGATGTGTAGTCTTCGTGAACTTTAAATATGAAAAAGCCGAATCAATTGATTGGGACCAGTCAAAGACGGCCTAAGGGTCATTCGCCTCGAGGAAGTTGGAATAATAAGACTTGAAGTGAGCTCGAACCCGTCGAAGAGTACGTGCGTGATCTTTACTTTTCACATCTAATCATCTAATCATTTATAATTTATATCAATTATTAGTGCCTTCGTTAGCTCTCTATCGCTACTTTCGTTAAACATTTATTCATTTTAAAGTAAATTATCGTAAATTAATTCGATATTACGGGACAAGGTGATCGGTCTTCGCGACTTCCTTTATCTACCACGTAGTAACACAAAATTTTTGGTTAAGTACAAATATTTCTCTATTTTTTTGATTGAAAGAAATAAAAAAAGTTTGCGTACATTTTTTATTTTAGTGATAAATATTTATTGTATCTATTGTAATATATATTTACAATATACGTCAACATCTTGTTTTTTCCCCAGAGGAAATGCTTTATGCACACCTCCATGTTACGGAGGTAGTGTGGGACTCCATTAGGGAACAAATCCTTAGGGTTACCCACTAAAACCCCTCTTCATCAAATTCTTCTCGTATACCCCTGCCTTCTTGATCCGCAAACTGCAAATTATAAATCAGAGCTGTACAACTGCTGCTCCCATTCCCGGGGTACTCCCACTATGCGGCTCAGGTTGTCTCGCTCGAGCCGTGACGCTCTTTTTTAAAAGGGGGTGATTCTCGTGTAACAAACAAGACTAAAAAAAAATTTTTGTTACACACATCAAAGGTACATTATATCAAAAATATGTTACATAAATTCGGATTTCAAAAAACAAAGCAGTTACAGCCTATTCAATGTATCGCGCCACAGTTCAAAACTGCAAGCAACATAACTTTAGACGCATTTTTCTCGAAACCATGTTATCGAAATTGGCGTACACGATAACTCAAAAACTAATTGAGTGTTCAATTTCAGACATAGCTCATTTTATTTGTTATACATTTCTCCAGGTACTGAACCTCAAATATTGAGATTAATTTTTATTTAGAACATTTGTTGCGTCGATATAGTGCTAAATTTATCTAGGGAAAAAAGCTCATTTTTCTTTCAAACGCTATAACTTACCCAATGTTTTTTCTTTGAGTCTGATTCAGTCCCAACGTTAACTATTTAACTTTAAGAAAATTTTTTGGTTTCAGCATCAGATGTGTACGTATGGAAAAAAAATCGCAATAAATTTCACCATATTTTGGCACGTAGATCAAATCCTATTTGACATCCCTGGTGTACGCCAATAGATGTTACATCGTCGAAGAGGATAACAAGTTTCTACATCAATTAATAAACAGTAAAAAATATCGGTATGAACAAAATATTTTCCACAACTAGAAGATGTCCTCTTTTATCACAAGTTTTATTCAATACTAGCAATAGTTTTTTTTTAGAAAAAATTCATTAGTATCAGTTACTTTTAGAGCTGTCACACGGGAATCCTCAATTAACTGTCGACCGTAACGGCACTAGAAAGAGAAAAAGAAAGAGAAGGAAGACCTTTCCCCGTTCGAGAAGTTCATGGACCTGAGAGGGTCCATGGAGCAAGGCAACTTGAGCCCCACAGTGGGTGTAGCCCAGGAGGGGAAGAAATCCTTGTGAGCAGGAATTGTGCAGTTCTGTATAAATATAGTAAAGGCTCCATGAGAATTTGAAACTCGGGACCGCTTCAAAACTTGCACACTGCACCGCAAATCGTTTCAACACCGCAGAAATTTATTTTCTGTCCGAAGTCCGAGTTGGCAGATTCCACCCCCGTGATTTTTTTCTAACTACCACAAAGGCGTATCGCTGCTGCAGTGTCTAGGGGAACCGACGAGGTATAAGAATAGACTTTTCATCTCTTGAGAGTTGGTGACCCATCTAAACTGTAGTACCGACACCTTAAAAACCCTGTGATTTTAGTGACTTCTAAATTATGAGAACAGTGAATCTACGATGAGTAGCGACACTAAAATGGAAATGGGGAAACGTTATTCGCATACCTCGTCAATGGTACGGGACACAGACATTTGATTCTCGCGGGATGTCGTTGCCAAAGGTGCTCTAAGGAAAGAAGAGGGTTGGCAGGAAAGCGACGCCATAGGAACACGAGGAAGAAGCGAAAGATTGAGAAAGATTGGCTGTGAAGCAAATAATGTACAAACGTGTTAAGCTCCTGCCGCGTTATTTAGCCAAGTGCGTTTATGGTAGTGAGGCAAGAGGTATGAAACTGTTTCTACAGATAATATATGGAATTCTAGACTAACTTCTTCCTGTTTTAATTGCATTTTTCTTTCCCTTTCTTCCTCTGCAGTCCGAAAATGTCCCCCTTTTGATTGATTTCGTGAGGCTCTTCTGCTTCGTACCCTCTCCTTAGAGGTGCGAAGTGCCATTTTCAAAATAACAGCGACCTCCTTTTTTGAGGGTCTTGTGAAGTGCCGATTATGAAGTACAGCATCTGAAAATGAAATGTAAGCAAAGTTTGTTAGTACGGATAGCATATAGAAGAATAGTTATACAGGATGTTCGACTACTAGTGGGACAAATTTAAAGAATCACCCCTTAATTTTTTCCCACTAGTAGTCGAGCACGCTGTATAATTATATAAACAATGATTCTGTTATACAGGGTGTTCGACTACTAGTGGGACAAATTTAAAGAATCACCCCTTAATTTTTTCCCAATAGTAGTCGAGCACGCTGTATAATTATATAAACAATGATTTGTACCATGAATAGCTCGAACAATTCGAGTCTCGCATAAAGCTTTATTTCCTTCCTCGCGGCCCAACCACGAGTATGACATTGTTAACTGGTCATCGATGGCCTCTTTGAAGCATAAATTGACGGCTTCCTTCAAACTAAAGCCGCCAACAAATTCAAAATAGTTTACCTAAACGAAGTAATAACTGATATAAGCTTTTACTACACAAAGATGAATAAAATTATACTTTCGTTTCACTTACAACGTCTTTGTAAGTATCTTCATCAATATTGTTAAACTCAGTCATTCCATCCACTGTACATATCGGTAATATTGTTGGTTTGGAAGGAATTCCACGCTGCTGCTGTAATTGCTTAAATATTTTTTCCAGCAGCATATTATTTTTTCTGTAAAGGTAAATTATTATTACACATTATAATTATATATATTTTAATAATAATAATAGATTCAATACTTACATCGATATTGCTTCCAGGTTTTCCATCTTCTGGTATAGGTCCCTGTAAACGTTATTTGTAAGAGGATGTCCTTATGCATATCACAAATTCATAAGGTACACATTTTCTATTATATGCTGTCGATGTTTTATGAGAAATGAATAAACACGCAATTTACCGATAATCTGAATTCATAGGTTCCGAACTAGCATCTGGCTGCGTCCTAAAAGAATGTTGTTCCGCATTCTCATCACCTGAAAAATCAATAGTACGTATTATAACGTTGTTTGTTATTGTATATGGCGTATATTTATTTGTATGTGGACTATATGCGTTTGTGTTTGATGTGATGTTATGTTTGGTGCGTATGCAATTGTGTTTATATGTGTGCTACATGTGTTTATGTTTGGTGTGTATGTATTGTGTGTGCTATATGTACTTGTGTTTGTGTTTGTATGTGTGCAGTATGTAATTGCGTTTGGTATATATGTGTTTGCCTTTGGTGTGTATGTATATGTGTCTGTGAGGGTGCTATATCTGTATGTGTTTGTGCGGGTGCTATATGTGTTTGCGTTTGGTGTGTATGGCACACGTATTTAATTTGCACATGTATATGTATTTAATGGCGCGGCGTTTTCCTCCAAATTATGCCACAATTCTTCTGTGTCTCCAGCGACATTTCCGGGGTTAACCTTGATCCGCTTATTCGACTCTTCGTCAGAGGATGTGGTTTCGTTGCGGCATGTCTTATCACCCGCCCGTTTCGGCCGTTCTGTTTCAATCTAAAATTTAACAAAATTTCGAAAAAATGAAACAAGATTTATACATACGTACTTAGTTATAACTATGAGTATAGGTGTCTGTAAAATCCGCGACGACGAAGTGATTTGTTGCGTGGCATGTAAATCTTGAACTTCAGCGATCGAGTCCCGGTTAAATAAAGTTTTTATTTCTTTCCTTTTTTTTCTTTCTTCTTCTCTTCCTCGGCAAATTTATTGTGGCGGCATTGTGCAAGATTCAGGATGATAATTATCGTACGTACAACAAAAATACACTAGTTACACCTAACGAGTGACTCGGCCAAGTACAAAATTTCGATCGAATGAACGTTTACATGCAGCGAGTGGTTCAAACGTATCAGTTCATTTCAATCGTCGTATATAATGACTTCTTTTTTTCAAGCCAGTCTACAGGCCGTACTTCGTCAGTCTTCCTCTTTTTTAAATTCTTCGTAATGAAATTCTTTATCCATCTGTCCATCCTAAATTTTCAGTTTCGCTGTTCATTTGTTTATAATTATATGTGTTACATTATATTTTGAATTTAGAACATATGTAAACATTTCTCTCATAACATAGACGACTTCACGTAGACAACTACTTAAGGACAATTGAATGTTGTCTGTTAAATGTAAAAGCTTCGCTTTGTTTTGAAACTTTATAAATTCCTTTCAAGCAGAGTAGTAAGACAGACGTGCAATATAGTGTATGCAATGAGTAGAGTGAAGAATATTACTCCTGAAGAACGTCGCCCAATCAAACTTCTTCGAAAGTCATATCGGCAGATTTCTAAAGAACTGGGAATATCCAGGATAGCTTGTTATAGTGCAATTTACCATATTGAGCGTTATAGGACTGCAGATAATGTTTCACGCAAAACACGGAGCCGTAAAACTGATGTTCTAACTCTAACTGACCGAAAAATTCATCGACTGTCGGAAGCAGATCGATTTAAAACAACAGTTGACATCCATGCTGAGATTTCGTTGTATTTAGAGGAGAAAATAAGTGTTTGGGCTGTACGTCGCCGTCTAAATGAATTTGGTTTGAAAAGACGTGTTGGTCGAAAAAAACCTTTCATCTCTGAGAATAATTGACGTGCCAGAATTGCGTTTACCAACGAACATCTAAATTGAACATCTGAACAGTGGGCAAAAGTTATAATGACTGACGAATTCAAGTTCAACAGATTGGGATCAAACGGAAAACCCTGTATAAGGCGTCGTATTGGCGAAGAATTTAAAAAAAATGTATCAAACCTTCAGTGAAAGGCGGTAGTGGATCCGTACTTGTATGGGGTGCGACGACAATGAATAGTGTTGGTCCTGTTCATAGAATACAGGGTGCGATGGACCGTTTTGTGTATCTGAATGTAGTAAAGGACATTTTAGTACCTTTTACATCAAATCATATGCCCAAGGACTGGGTTTACCAGGCAGATAATGATCCAAAGCACACTTGCCCGTGTCGTCAAACAATACTTAGACAACCAAAAAATGAATGTTGTGAAGTGGCCTGCTCAATCTCCTGATTTAAATCCAATAGAGATGCTTTGGATTGACGTAGACAAATATATAAAACGAAAAAGAAACCTAGAGGAATTATACGCGTCAGTGGTAGAAGCCTGGTCATCAATTTCGGTAACAATATGTCGTAAATTGTTCGAATCAATGCAACGAAGGTATGCTGCTGTTTTAAAAAACAAAGGATTACGTACAAAATATTAAAATAATATAAAAAATATCGCGATTATATACTTGAAATTGGAATAAAAGGTGAAGATAAGCAAATCTTTTGCGTGTTCTTAAATACGTGTCCACCAAAATGTTGACATTCGAAATTAAATGTTTTCAATACCCCTTTATAGTTCCGTGTAAGAGTAATTCTTTTCGCTATACTTGAATCTAAACTTAAAACATATGATATGTAAGACAAATATTCAAATAGCTTAATTGTATCAAAGTATATGAAGAATAATTAATTTTTAATGATTGTTGATTCTTGGGGAGGGAAAACAAATCCTGCCATATATGATCAAAAGTTCGACGAAAATAATTTATCCACCTACACATTAAAAATTATTCCACCAATGTTTATAAACAGATAACACATTATATAGCACGATTCCAAAATCATCATAAACTTTTCTTACCGTGCCGCGATATTCTTAAACGATCTGATTACATAAAACTTCACGCATTAATTCATCAGCAATTGCAAGCACCGATTTATTTAAACATGACTAAATATGCATGGTTTGCTTCTAAACTAATTTTAACAAGAGAAATATTTCTGAACGTAAATCAAATTGCCTTCCCGGACGACGTAAAAACTAAAACATGTCAGTGTAACAAACAAGTCATTATTGTGTGTTCCTGGTGCCGAACATATTTGTGCTATTTCTGTATCTATGATAATTATCATCCTTAATCGTGTACAACGTCATTACAATAAAATTGCAGAGGGATTTCTATCCAGAAGAACAGAAAAAAAAACAAAAATAGAAACTAATTTAACCGAGATTCGATTGCTGAACTTCCTTTACGAGCCACGCAACAAGTCACTTCGCCATCGTCGATTTCACAAACAGACACCAATGTATAACTAGGTATGTAACTTTCATTAATTATACCTTCAAAAGTATCAAATAACTACAGCTAATATTTCACACATATCATTGAAAATATGTGTTCTATCATGTCTATTATCCTACATAAAATCGAAGTGGTACAGTTGGCGTCCCTCGTTAGACGCGCATCGCAACACGCAGTAGCTATTGCGTATGTTTCAATATAATCGTATTATAATATATAAAATTACATATACTTTGTTATATACACATTTGTTTCTTTTTAATAGGAATAAATGTATATAATTATGTATTATAAATATGCGTATATGTATATGTACAATACTATTTGTTGTAGCTGTTGTGTAATACGGTACAGTAGGATGTGCAATAAAATGCGCGTCCAATGAACATGATACCCGCAAAAAGTAATACTGTAAAGACGCTATAATTGCTCACAGAGGCCTCCACGCTAACTGTTCGTGAGTCACCCCCGCCACTGGGCGAGACTTCCCCCGAAACTGGTCAAGCGTATACAGGCTCTCCCAAAAAGTTGGGACAATCCGCAACATGCATATTCCTCATGCAAATACACATCGAAAAGTCTTTTACCGTTTTGTAATCCGAAGCTCCATTTCCAAGATATTAGCACTTAAACGAATTCCAAACAGGTGAGGGGTGGGCCACAGGTGCGCGCAGACACAGTCAAGAAGCAGAGGCCCGTCGCGTCTGCGCGTACGTGTGAGTTCGTTTAACTACTAATATCGGAAATGGAGCTTCAGATTGCAAAACGGTAAAGGACTTCTCGATTAATATTGGCATGAGGAATATACATGTTGTGGATTTTCATGTGTTTTTGAACACGCTGTATATATATATGTTCCCCTTCACTCATCGACGGGCGACGGCCGAACGAGGGAAGCCCAAAAAAGATTTTTTTACTTCGCCGAAAAACAACGCATCGTTTTGCATACACACACTCATACAACAGATAATTCACACGCACATACACTTACGCATCACTTCACCGGCACGCGACAAAGGTGCACAGTTCAAATTCGCCCACCACATTATAAATGAGAGGATTGTGTGTAGTACAATATTCTAAATTATTTCTAATATTTATTTTGGCTTATGTTTACAATAATATGGCACTTACATATTTTAAACATTATATTAGAACATTAACAATATTACGAAATTTAAATATTACATTTTCTTCACAAGGATCACATATTTTACCAAAAAAAGTACTGTAAAATCTTGATTGTTTTCTATCCTTCATGGGTCTTTCAATTATAGAAACGCACGAAATAATAAACAATATACACAAATTATTTTATCAGTAATTAGCATTCAGATTCATTGTAAATTTACCAATGTATAAACACTCATCTTGAGTAATGTGATGGTTTCTTATATAACGTATAGTGCTTTGAATCCAATTGTCGCTTCTCTTGCGTGTCCTGAATTCCTTTAAATATATGTCAAAGTGGTGTCTTCAACTGTAGAAACGCACTAACTAAATAACAAATAATATAAGTAAATATAAGTACTTATCTTGAGTAATGTGATGAATTTTAAATACACTTGTCGCTATGCCTGCGTATCCTGAATTCCTTTGTATATCTTCAAAAGATGATGTACAAAGTATGTCCTTTGTATATATTCAAAAGGTGATATACAAGGTATGGTGTCCAGACTTCTTCCATCCTTCCCTCGAAGTCCTTACTTTTTGTTAATTTATCATACTAAATAAAGCCTCTTTTAAACCTTCTATAATTTTGCTTATCCCAGGTGGTGCTCCTATACTATAATGTTTTGGACATTAAAATAAATACGTTAATTCTTCTCTCTTATTGTCACATATTTCTTCCTATCGTTTGACATATTCTTCGTCTTCACTGTCGACCTCTTCTTCGACCCCTTCATCCTGTATGAATCTTTTTGCTTCTTCACACGAAGATAAAAATTCTGTAACGTGATCCGCTGTTAATTGTTCGCCAATAATGGAAATGATTAAATCTTCCATGTCACGTTCAAGACTATCTTCTTGTATTTCTTCTAAATTTCATGTAGGTTGTTCTGGTACGATCTTGTTGCATGAATTTTTTATATTATCCAATTTTATTTCGGTCCGGGATTTGTACAGTGTACCTACACAATCCTTAATTGTGTACACGTTGCAAAATTCATTGATTCCATCGTTGTACATTAAAACAGATTGCAACATTGTGTGCCGAAAAAGTCGTTTAGTCTTCTCAATTGATTATCTCTGCTTTGTCCATCAGTTGTAGTCATGGGCGTAGCCAGGTTATCAGTCGGGGTGGTGGAGGGATTTAATTTTTTCCTCCGGAAGGGGGCAGGGGCAAAATCCAATTTTTCTTCTTCTAGGATGGGGCAACTTTTTTCGGCGACTATTAGGCGGTAGATACATGATCTGAAAGTGATCACCATTCTGTGTCCTTTGCAGTTACGTACATAACACAATAGACATTAGTTTATTGCAGCTTTCGGGGCTGTAGAGGGCCAGAATTCCAGAAATACTGCAATAAAGAAACTCCAATCACCCGCGCGCTCTCCCCTCCGTTCGGCCGTTCATTTGTGCGACGTACCTACATATAGGGTGGGCTGGATATACGCATTTTACGATCATCTTCATTATCTTCGTTATTTTTGGAGATATCAGAAAAGTTTATTCACAGAAGTTGTTTACTATGGAAAGGGCTATTAATTTGCTAGGGCTACAATTTTTTCGTTGGTTGAGGATATCCTGAGTTTTGAAGATTAATTATGTTTCCTTTGTAACGATACTGAAATATTGTAGAATAAAAATATTTTTTTATGTAAATGGATTCTTTTGAACATTCTACGTAATAAAATATTAAGGTAATATGTGAAAAAAATTAATAATTCGTGAGATATTTTATATAAATATGTAACAAACTGTTAATTTTTTCTCGACCTATAACAAAATTATTTCTGCTATGTTATAGTTCCTCTGATACCAGATAAGTTTTGTGAATAAAACTTGTTTATACCTGTAGAAATAATGGAGATAATTAAAGTGATCAACGTTACTGGACCATTGTTAATAATGCATGTATAATTGAACAGTAGTTTCATTTATTCTTCTTTATTGAAAACAATGTAATCATTAATATGAATATTTGAATTTGTTTAATTGTGACATACAAAATGATTAACAACTACATTTGCTTATTAATTAACCAGTCTTTGCGGACTTTGTAGCCATTGAGATGCGCTTTTTCTTAAATTCAGCATGCTTCTTCGTGGGAATAGCTTTCCACAGAAGTCCGGTCTCGTCCATATTTTAAAGATTTTCTAAATTAATATCTTCATCTTACACGATGGTGCCATATGTATTATCTATTCCACTGCCAAGCAGGAAAATCACTTTTACAAAAGTGACTAGGGATCGATGATTTTTATGATGCCCGTATAAGATCCTCTAATTTAAGTTCCTATAGATGTAATATTTTGAGCACAAAATTTTCTATTAATCCGGATGATATTCATGCTACATTTTTCAGGATACCTCTTTTCCCCGATGATATGACGGACAATGAAGAGCTAGGAGATAAAAGAAGAGGATACGCCGTGGCTGTGATGCTGCATTTCGAACAGTGTTGGGCGTTATTCGAATAAATTGTTACGTATGAAGAATTTTCTATCATACCTCTCGCTCTAATAGTCTGACTTCGCACCCGGCAAAGGAAAACGCCCTTACGGTTTTGTTATCTCTTGAGTAAGCGAGGGAGTAAAACCCGTTCCCACGGCGTGGTAACCAAAAAACTAGGAAGCGTAACGCAACTTCAACCATCAAAAATTTCCTTATATGGAAATTTCATAGCTTCCCCACCAATTTCTAGGCCTATATAAACCCGTTGATTTCAACCCTCAGGGGATCAGAACTGTACCGTCGCCTTTAGAAGTCACGTCGCGTCACGATCTTGTGCATTGGTCATTGCGTTAGTGAGATCGGGCTAAAGTTCCCTTTCGAATCCAGTTAACCTTGTAGTAAACCGTGAACACTTCATTTGTATTCCGGCTAGAATTATTACTTTGGCATTATTCCGTAAAATCCACTCGCAACCCCCGCATCGCCATCGGTGCGTTAACACCGAGCACCTATTTATTTCGGTAATAGTTATTATTTCATTATTACTTACTTAATAATGTGATTTTAACCCTGCAGTTTTTAGGAAAGACAAAAAGCGGTCTTTGAATTTATTAAAACAGTCACGACAATTCATGGACGCATTTGCGTGTTTAGCATTTTTTCTTTTTCATTTATATATTTGTGATAATAATAATAAAATTGCGCTCCAAAAGACCCATTTACACGGATGCTCTGAAGCACCCATTTACACGGACACTCCAAAAGACCCATTTACTATAGTTATTGAACTGCTAAATAGTGAATGCGTACAGATGTGTATTGCAAGGACGGAAAAATCATGTTATAATATTATTCACTAGTTATCGAGTTGAGTTTCAGTTATTAAAGTTTATTCGGCTTGTTTGAGTTTCAGTTATTAAAGTTTATTTTGTTTGTTTAAGTTTAAAGTGTCAGTTTCAGTTTAGTGTTTCGTTTATTTTGTTGATGTGTGTATTCGTTGTGTTTTACTATTTTTTTTCTATATTGTTATCCTATATTCGTTAGTGTAAATGTATAATTTATAATGAAGTAACATGTCCACAAGTAGGAAGCTACGAAGCCGTGCAATCGCGTGTGTTATGCTATACGTGTTTTTCAACACAGAAAGAAATAAGCGGCAACGAAAAATATGTTAAGGAGTGGCACAAGACAGAGATCCCTATGGACTTGGAATGGAGCCATAATTGCATCACGCACAAGAATTGGCAGAGACATTATATTCTTAACTTCTGCAACATTATGTGATGTAGAGAACTTGGATACACCCGCAATGTCTGGGTTAGGTTAAAGCACATAAAGAGTGGAAAATAGAGGGAAATGGACATATAACATATATGCCGCTTTTGAGAGAGTTTGCAGAAAATGGGTCGAAAGATTTTAAAAATTATTTACGTATGGATAAGTCAACATTTGACTACTTAGTAAACTTAGTTACTCCATATATAAGAAGAAAATGCATAAGTGTAGAAGAACTGGAAGAACCCTTCATGATTTATAATTTACGACTTGTAGATAATACTGCACCGGCTTTATGTTGTATTATTTCAGAAACATGTTTGGCGATGTATACTGTGTTGAAAAAAGATTGTATAAGAGTAATGATTATAAAATAATACTGTATTAAACAAATGAAACAACTACAAAATGTGGAACACATTTTTATGTAAAAGATATTTCTTGTAAACTGTCAACTATTATAAACTAGAAAATGTGCTTTCTTCACTACTATTACATTGCGAATTGTGTGTACTAAGATTTTCACTTACACTTGTATTTTCAGTCAGTTTCTTTAATAAACCCTTCCATAATATACGATGAATTAAATCTTCAGCACACATCGCTTGAGAAGCATCCATTTTCTCCAACTTTTTCGCAACATTAATCCCAACTGCTTCGAATTCACTTATTTCGCTATTGCGTTTCAAAGCACGCTGGCATGCTTTCACGAAGTCGATGTTTGATTGTATTGCTGATTTCCTTTTAATGCCTCTTAGCGATGTACAAACTTCTTCGCTGATCGATGCTTCAGCAGATCCTTCACATGACGCTTGAACATTTTCAGTTTCCTACACGTAAAGAAGAATGGTTATACATAGCAGATCAGTTTGAGAAGAAATGGAATTTTATAAATTGTGGAGAAGCTCTCGGCGGAAAGCATATTCGTATAGTTTAACCACCGAATACCGGGGCGATGTATTATAAATACAAAAACTTTTATAATATTATATTGCTGAACCTTGTTAACGCAGTTACGAATTTATATTTGTCGATGTACGGAAAACTGGAAGGTTGTCTGATGGTGAGGTCATAGAATATACAGAATTTTACAGAAAACTGAAATCTGGGCAATTAAAGTTACTTATAATGAAGAAAACGAAAATTAATCTTAGTTTTGTTTTTGTCGACCTAGTGACTTTTGTAGGCAAAATAACATTTGTTGCAGTCCATGGATGTTTCAGTATTTTGTCCTTTGAAGTCAAACTGGTGTCAAGTGACCTTAGATTGCAGAATAGAATGCTCGATGTTAACAAAATTCTTACAACTGATTTTAAAGCTTGTAGGGTATACCCATTTTCTGTTGATTTTGTTTATTTTTCAAAACTTCTTAACTCAAACAATAATACAGGAAATCTTTTAGTAGAAGATGTATATAAAGAAGTTTCATGTTGTATTAAGTTTATTGATAAACATATTGATCTAAATACATTGGAGCTATTTAAACAAGCCATGACAACTGGAGTCTGCACTGGAGAGGAAGAAAATAACAAATTTTTTTACTTTTGGCTTAAAGCTGTTCACAAAAATGAAGTTCCAAACAATTATAAAGAAGCAGGGGAAAGTGTATCAAATAAAGTGGATTAATTAAGATTATAATTTACACGGATTGTTTTATTTCACCGACTAAAATTTTCTTTCGCATTTACAAGACCACTTGAATTTAAAAAACGATAGGTTTGACATACATGAGTCTGATTCTCAAGAAACGCAAAACTCTTAGTATACGAAGAGGGAACTTTTGAACAGTGTAATGATATAATACCGTCCCATACCACTCTGTTTAAGTAAACAAACCACCATCACAATATGCCAAGCAAGCAGATATGATAAATTGCCTTGACCGAAACAAAATTTCTTTGATTTCTCTATTTCGTTTATATTAACAATACTAATAATTTAATAAACAAGAGCTATTAGTATTATTTTCTATTTCGTTTTAAACTAAGTTGAGGTTGTAACATGTATTTTTCTGTTTTAGATCGCAAAAGGAATCTTAATTCATTGAGATCACTTGGTGTTCGCAGTTCAGCTATTCTTCCTAAGGATTTCTTCCTAAAACCTATCATTCCTGTTTCTTTAGTGAACATTTCAATTTTTGAATATTAAAAATTATGTATATGTTAGGGTGGGGGGGGGAGCATAAGAATTTTAGAAAGGCTTATGTGGGACATAGCACAAAAAAGGTTGGGAAACACTGGTTTAATTAAAACAACCGATGACTGACATGTATTCAGTTATAAACATTGAAAAACGGGAACGCGAGCGCGAGGTATCTCGTTCAAAGCAGCACGCGAACGGTGTTGCTTCGCGAGATATTCCGTACACAGCGTCGCATGAACGATTTTGTGTCGCGAGATATTTCGTACATAGCATCGCATGAAAGACATTGCGTTGCAAGATATCTCGTCCAAAGCATATCATGAACGAAATCACGTGGCGAGATATCTCGTCCTCTGGTGCGAAGGGGTTAATGCAAATCGTGCGAAGGCAGGAGGCTCCGCAGACAATATAACTCTCCAAATTAGGGAATCCCTTAATTATTTTACGTCCCACCGGGTAGCCCTACCATGGCAATAGCAGTTTTTAATTTTATTTTCTATGTTTTTTAATTTTGTATTTATTAAATACTATGTTAGGTACTATATTAAGACTATTTTATACTTATTATTACATTATATTTATATTGTACACTATTATGTTACATTTATATTTCTCACTATTATATTATATTGTTTATATTATACATATATTATAAACATAAATGCTGTTTTTGGTGAATGTACAGTAAGTGATCGAACCATAAGGCGTTGGTTCGAAAAATTTCATTCCGGTGATACCGATCTTGAAAATATGCCTCGTGGCCGTAAGCTAGCAACTATTGAAGATTCTGTTTTAAAAGAGATAGGTGAAAGGAATTCACGTCTAACTGTTCGGGAAATATCAGAGAGAACAGGCTAGTTTTTGATATACCAACCTAGAATGATTTCAATGATTTTTAAATATGTTGTCGGGCACATGATTCTGAACAACTTTTTTCTTACGTACTATCGGCGGACCGCCCTAGTTTCGGAGATATTTGCAAAGAACTGTCGGTACCACTACAGTGAATTCTGCCTATATTTGTGGATAATTACATAATATTAATATGATTAAATATGTTCGTACTGCTATGTGTTTATACAGGGCCGTTCCTGGCGGAGGTGCAGAAAGTGTCCCCGCACCTAGGCGGCCACAGATCGTTTATTATGTGTAGAACTTGGACTAGCAAGAATAATAATCATAAGTTTTCTGATGATTATGCAAATTTTAGAGCAACAGAATTTAATCAAACTAATTGTACATGTAATCTTTGTAACAGTACTCGTATACAAGAAGGAACTATCTTTATGGACAGCCCAAAATAGCATATGACATTTAGCCATATTTAGTGGATTAAATTCGTGTAAGTAATTAATGGTCGCTATTTATCAACCATAACATCATTAACCCTCCGGTTTTGTGAAATGTCAATGTAAAAGAAAATATAATTAAAAAAAATGCATGTGTCTGAAAAAGGAACTTTTATGCAATTCAGGTGCCACCATAGTTTACTGTGTTGTGATAAATAGAAAATTAATATTTATTTCCTTTTCAAAAAAAAAACGTTACTATTTTGTTTAAAAGATTTATTTATATTAATTTATGTAACTAAAGTATTTATTTAACATTATAATTGCTTCTTTCTGATTGTAAGTGTATTAAATAAAAATATAACCAAAAAGGATGTTATATCTACTAAATAAAAACATCCAATTTTCTTAAGAAAGATCCCTAATCTATCAAATGTAGTGTTAAGTTGTCAGTTTTCATTTTTGTTTTATAAATATATGTACATAATATATATCTTACAAAATTAGACTTCCTAGATTATGCTTTTATTAACATGCTGTAGGAAATGTATACATCTATTTATTAAATGAATACATGTACCATGTAAAATACATTCTTATATTCAGTTCATACCTCTGCTAAAGTCGTATGTAAATGCATAGATTGACTAGTAAGTGTATACTGTATACATTTATTAAACGTGACACTTTTGTTGTGACATTGTATGTACATAATATGTAAGCGATCTTCTAACGGTCATCTCACGACTGCCGAACGATCGATGACTACCTAGCATACCTAACCTGATAACCAGTTGTGTACAAGTTTCGAGCAAATTACCAGCAAATAATGACAAAAGTTATTTAAAAACAATAGCCATCTGTTTACGCATTTGGCTTGGGTTTTGCAAGCAGCGCCAGCTGACAAAATGGTACAGCAAATAGGCAGGAAGTCTTGCAACATAACCTGTATCAAATTGAGGGCAAAAAACGGAACACAGTCTGCGCGAGCCAATTTGCTGCATATGTTACTGCCAATGTGCGCGCAAGTTGTTTATAGCAAATTCTGCATAGAACTTGTAGCCATAACTTTATAACTGGCATTGAACTGAATTTGGCTTTGCAGGTTTGGCTGATTGGATAGTAACCGAAAAATTGAAAGTCGGTGCCCAGAGGCTCACGCCAAGTCGCACGCCTTGTAGGAAAATATTGTATCACCTACATTGTAACACAATCATTATATGATGTATTAAATTAACATATAATCACGCCCGTAGATAGACAAACTGCAGTAAAACGACCAGCAACCGACATGTGCATAGTTACGAACGCATGATTATATATGTACGCAAAATTCATTGTTGGTACCGACAGTCTTTGCAAATACAATCTCGAAAATTAGGGCCGTCCGCCAATTATATTGAGGAAAAAAGTTGTTCAGAATCATGCCCCCAACATATTTAAAAATCATTGAAGTCATTCTAGATTGGTACATCAAAAATTAGCCTCTAATTATATATATATATATATATATATATATATATATTTAATCATTCCTGTATAATGATTTATAAATCTGCATATACTAAAGTAATTAAAAAATGTCTTGAGAAATAGTTTATTATGTCACCCGGTCACACATTCTATCGTTCATCTGATAGAAAGCAACAAACTGGGGAAATCAGGGGTTCGAGACCTCTCTTGCTCATTCGAGATACATAAAACAGTTATGGTCTTAATTGGCGATGACTATAATTGTTTAAAATGACTACTAATGGTAAAGTATAAATCAATATAAAAACTTTGCACATTCGCGTGTACTAGAAACTCACTCTTTAAACAATTCTTCTGGTTCTAGAAATCTCATGCTTTCGATAAATAAAATTTATGATCGGATTATTTTTGTTTCATCCGAAAATCAAATCAGTAAATAGTCGAATACCTTTGCACGCCCCGACATAACCTCGCTTCGCCGAGCGTCCATCGCACACAGTAGATACTTTTTTAACGAATCTTCATTCACTTTCACTTCAATTACCGTATCTTCGATATCGCGAAACAATGTTTCTCGTTTAAACACTGGAAAAACGTTTCACACAACTACGCACGTGACCGCGAACGAAAACGTGCAATTTACAGCGTGCTAACGCGCACAATCGAACGAACGACACGATAAAATAATGATAAAAGACTAAAACCTTGTTTATGAAACAATGAAACGTTATACTTAAATTAATACTGTCAAGTTTAAAAGTACCCACGCTCACCAGAAACAACATACGGCAACACGTCAAATCCGGAATCCCCAATGCCCACCACAACAATCAAGCCCGCCAAGAAGTTTATGACAATGAGGTGCTGTAGTTTCCGCCAGGGGGAGGAAACTCCAATGTTAAGTGGTGGGATAGTGTTTTGAGCGACCCCTGGAATATGAAACTTCAATCGGAACTAAAATTCAATATGGCGGCCAAATACCGCAAAATTTGAATGCATATACACCGTGCGTTCTTAAATGTGATGTAAAAGGTATAGCTACTGATGCTAACAAACATTTATATAAAAAATAATTATGGTATGTGAAAAGTGTCAATGTCATGTTTTTGTCTTAAAAAACAGTTTCATGCGTAGCGTCGAATAAAATGTCTAGTGTCTTTATAACTTCAATAAGAATAGAACTTTTTTCATATTTTTTTTGCATTTTGATTTTTGACAATTAGGAGTCTCAACCAAAAATTGCAAAAAAATTTCTAACACGTGCTCCAGTAAATACTATCTATCAAATGGTAACTCAATAGTCACTAATTAGGGAAAATAGAGGAAAAACCGAATAATCCAAATTTTTCCTATTACTAGCCTTCTGGTTGAGATAGAGGGTTAAAACTTGGTATATGTATATGGTTTTCTCTGAGCAAGCTATCAAATGGTAAGTATATGAGAAGTCCAAATCGGTCTAAGGGCACCTTTGACCCTCTTATCCGGTATATTACCCTGCTTTATTATAAAAGACTAGGTGGCAAAATATTCTGAATTATAGAAGATTTAAAGATTAAAATAGACATAGTAAAACATATAGGTGTATATGCTAAAAGAGTTATGTTTATTATTATATATACATTCTATATAAAAAAATAACATTTTTCAAATAAGTATTCATAACAAATCATTGTTCATGGAGTTAATATTATATTAAAGTAAAATTATATCAAAGTTTATACAATTTTTTCATCTAGGAAAATATGGTGAAATTAAATAGAATGCGATAAAAATATTGAGAAATGAAACACACCCAGTCAGCCAAACCTGCAAAGCCAAATTTTGTCCAATGCCTGTTATAAAGTTATGGCTACAAGTTGCGCGCACATTGGTAGCAACATATGCATTAAAGGCTCCCGCAGAGTGTTCCGTTTTTGCCCTCAATTTGACACAGGTTATGCAACGCCGGATGAAGGGGGGGTCTAGGGGGGTTGTAGCCCAAGGCCCCATGTTCTAGGGAGGCCCTGTTCTGAACCTTTCATTTCGTTACGATTAAATGTTATTTAATTTGATTTAAAATAACTTTCAATTTTTTAAGATTGACGTATTTTGTTGAGCTGTATTACAAAAATCCCCCTTCACCCCCGTTTTTTAACCAAGGAGGCCCGAAAATGTGATAGCCCTGGGCCACAAAAAGTCTTAACCCAGACCTGAGGTTATGTTGCAAGACTTGCTGTCAATTTGCTTTACCATTTTGTCAGCAGACTTTGACTGTAAAATCTAAGTCAAATGCGGAAACAGAAGGGTATGGTTTTCTTAGACAAATTTTGTCATTGTTTGCTGACAATTTGCTCGTAACTTGCATACAACTGGTTGTCGGGGACTTATATGTGCATGGTCTTAGACGGACAATTAAGCACTTTGGAACTTTAGTCCCGGAATAGTTCAAAACGTGGAACCTGGGCTTGTAATACCCGTTCAAACCAGTTTATATTAAATTGCCCAAGATTCCCAACCATCTAAACCCCACAAATCTTAAGACTAATAATAGATCAATCCAGAATTAAACCACACAGGAAGCAAATGTACAAAATTAACAATTCCAATTATTTCCTTATATCATTTTTTCAATAACCATAATTAATTTATGGAATAAATCTCAACGGAAAATTGAAATTAAGTAATTAATTTCATAGGTACATATATATTACTGAATATATTTGACATGCATCTATTATTTTTCTATTCTTTTATTTACTATTTTTAATAATGCTATTTTCTTTTATTATAATAATGCAGCCCTTGAAATACAATAATATTATCCTTATTTTTAGAAATTATTATGAGATAATATATTTTGTTTTAATTATAATATCCATTTTAGTTTCATAATTTTTTATGAAATATGTCGTTTCAAACATTATTTCAGATACTATGCATGTTGATTATGGTATCGACAGGTAGCAAATTCTAAAATAAAATTAATACATAGAGTTGTATAACATAACATGATATTTTCCGTTATATGTTTAAATTAAATGTATAGTATGAATTATATGTATTACTATAATAATATTTCAGATATTACATATAGTGTTCTTTCGTAAATGAGTCTATTCTAAAGCAGACTAATATACTTATAAACTAATTATATGCAAATAATAATTATGAAATAATTATGAAATCTAAAATGTCTATATTTCACAAGTACGCGGACTTACTTTTTATGAAGTAAAATAATTTTCTGTTTGAATAATTATTCTAAAGTAATTTTATTTAAATATGCGGGTACCTTTTATGTCTGATAAAAATGGAAGTGCACGTGGTGGTTACCGGGCTAAGAACAGAATTTACGCATGCGTGAAATCCTGACGGAAGGGTCGGAAGGGGCAAAGCCCTCGGTCTTGTAAAACCCATGGAGACAGAATGGATCCATTATTTTGTACTTTATTCCCGACAACATTTGTGCCAATTTAAACATGTACTACTTACTGTCATGTGAATGCAAAAACGCATTCTTATAAAAAAACATTTACAGTAACAAAAACACTTCACAGTCTGAAGAAAATCTATTCCTATAAAGCAATATTATCATTATAACAGTGGTGAAAATTCAGTATTGTATATTTTAATAAAACATTGATTGATATAAGACTGACTGTGAAATGTAATTATACATATTGATATACCGATTGAAAAATTCTACCATTCATTAGTATTTGATTCATTAATAGATGAATCATCTTTAATCAAAGAGTTATTTGAAAAGATCAGTATTATGAGTTCAATGGTAGAAAATCCTGAGCCAACTAAAAATATTAAATTATTATTATGTAAATAAAATTAGAAAAGCTAAGTACTCAGTGACAGTGATTAAAATACTGTGGTACGATAATAAAACAACATATTACAAGAATTTCAATCGACTCAATGCATTAAGTTTATATTCAACTTAATTAGTGACATAAACTATTCAATGAAAATGATTAAAATGCTGTGCTAATAATGTTTATGAAGAATTAAATATATTGAATAATGTATGGTATACAGAAAATCATCCCATATATTAAAGTATTCTGTTAACATACTGAATAAGGAATTAAGAAATTAATACAAATATTTTTGAGTGAAACTTATGTAATAAAACAAAGAACAAATTTTAATTATTGTGAAAAAGCAGACTTGACCATCAACTTTTATTGTACTACTTCATAGTCATTCGCCATGAAGGAGTTAAGAAATTTAAATTGGTGATTTCGTTAAGACAAAAATACATCCATATCATTCTTATCATGTTGTTACATTTTATAAAGTTTAAATTTTCGATAGTGCACATGTTATATAATACATTGGCATATTTCTAAGTTTTTAACATTCAACTGATTATGAAGTGATTGCCAAAGAAAATATAAATATAATAAATATAAATTGAGATTTAATGTAAATAAAAATAGTTATACATATGGGTTTCTCCAAGATGATAAAACGGTTGCTGTATGCAAACTTTGCATCTTGCAGTTCTAAGGTAATAGGAGTATTAGCACCATTAACAATACCACCATTGCATATCACATTTTTGTACTACTTTTGGCAAGAATATTCACGGGACGTGGATAAACAGTATTGTTCTTGTTCATGTTGGGATACAGTGTTCAAAGGTAAGGTATTAGTATTGTTAAAAAATTCCTTTCAAAAAGTATCAGATGTTTTCTTTTAGGATCATACGAATCTGGCATTGCTTCTTACAAACACATGTACTTTAATGCCACTACAAATACTCTGAAAATATGGATAACCATTGTAACTGGAGTAATTACATTTTACGAAACGATGAAACATTTAACATGGCTTGCATTTCAAAATCGTCTTAGATTCAGCATGATGATACTTTTCTCCACTGCTATTTTTTCGCACTATTATACTTGGTGGGTTTACATGAATTACTGGAATGATGAATTTTATTCTCAATGGTATCATCAGTTGTTCTTCTCCATCACTGAACTGGTATCCACTTTACTGGTTGTTCATCTGGCAGATAATAAAAATCCAGTAACACACAGAAAAGCTTTTGGCATTGCTGCAATTGCTATTTTACATATTGTAGCAGGTGGTTGGGATCAATTCGTCGCTAATGTTGTCAGAGGGGAGGGCTACGCACATCAGGTAACATTCTTTTGAATATACATATGTTGATAGTAATGTATTATTCAAAGTACCATAGTAAAATGGAGACATTTCTAACAATAAGGTAGGACAGCTACTTCTATTGATGAAAGTTGAAGTAGTTAATCCTAAAAAAGGTACTGACTTTATGAATCATAATATTAATTTCTGTTTTGTCACAAACATAACTAACCAGTTGTTTTGCCTCCCTAATATGTGATATCCATAGTTTGAAAAGCCTCTACCTGACTTCATGAGATCTCTCGAGTTCATGGCTTTCCAGCTCCTATAATTTTCTATTTTTATACACAATGGAGGTAAATAAAATTTATGTAAATATGTATGAGGGTTTTGTATTTCAGTTCTTAAATAGTGGGGAGAGCTACTAGGAGGGTTCCAGAGATGTCTCCATCTGTCTATTATAACTTTGAATTTAAAGATTTAGAAAGTAATTTACATTTGACAGGTGGTACGTGATCTTGGATTCATGATCCCAGATATTCTTCACGTTGCCATTCCTTTATGGGCAGTAAAATGGAAAAATATATACAATCTTCCAGGCTCGACTAAACGAGATCCGAGTATCAAAAGAGACTTGGCATACATGTTGGGAATGATATGTATAGGATTGTGCATTTGTGCCATATTGTAATGCCTAAGAAGTTGCAAAGCCTAAGAATTGTGTCTTACTGATCAATAGAGAACATTTCACTTGATTTTTATTACATATACAAATTTATGAGGTGAATGTACAACATTGAGTAGATTTTATTGAGAGATATAAATACCTTTGTAATTCTTTTTATGACAGTGTTAGCATTGGAGTTCAAAGTAGATATTAACTTATTGTTAGACTAGTCAGGTGACCTTTAAGACTAAACCTATTGCCAAATATACAAAGTGAACCATGTAACTTATCCATCTTTATCATTCTAATCATTAGTGCAGAAACTAATTCTATGGTTTCTTTTATCATAGTTAATGTGGGTCAAAAAGTTTTTAATGACATCAATTATCAATAGTAATAAATTATAAAGTAATGTTCGGAGAGAACGAATGTATGTATATACGTGTTATACTTTGCTTCTATTTCAAGGAATATGTTACAACAAAATTAAATAAAATCATGTTGGTTTCATTATATGTATAAAGAACTATACACATTATTTTACAATTTTGAAGAATGTAAGAATATGGTTGAAAAAAAATTGTGTTTAAACTTGGTATTTTTGTTAGATAAAGAAATTTAACCTTGTGTCTTAAGATATTCGATAAAATAAAATCTTAACTCATTTTCTCATAATGGAAAGTTATGTAGTTCACTCTGTACAAGTACTTAGTTTTGCACAGTCAAAAATTTACTTATTTTTTCATATTTTCTTTTATTAATATAATTTATTATTATTTTTTATATTTATTCAGCAAGTATTTTACTGATGACATTAATTGGTAATATTAACTTACAATGCCTGTAGAGTACAATTTGCTTATTAGATGAACTAGATTTGCCTCGGTTGTCCATTCCTAATTTTTTTGCCAATAATTTCTTACCTTGATTTTTATAAAAATATGCTTCATGGTTAAAACTTGAATTTAATATAAAAACATTTCCCTTTGAATATGAAAATTTGTATTTTTTAAAATAATTATTAATCAGTAGTAATTATATTTACTAAGTACTTACTTTGTAAAAATATTGGTTGTGATTATTAATTGATATGTCTAATAATACACATCAAATATTATATAGTTAAACTGATGTAACAAATGCGAAAAATTTTTAATCATGAACAGATCATATTTTTTGTAATTAAAATGTTAAAAAAAGCCTTTATACTTGTTTTTATGAAGAACAGTTAATTATTTGATAGATAATTTCTTATTAAATGTCAAAACATATGGGAAATTATGCTTTAGAACAATCGCATTTTATTATATTTATAATACGTTTACAATATCAAAACGCCTACACATACATATACTGAAAAGAATACACATCTTATTTTGAAATTGTCTAGTTTTGAATATTCATAAATATGTTCTTAGTTTATATAAATATTTAGGATTCTTCGAGTAAGATTAGAAAAGTATTTATCAATTTATTTCTGCATGTTAAATGCAGCAGTTAGATACCAAACACTTTTATGCCTTTATAGTACTTAACACATCTGTTGAAAACATTAAATGAAATGTAGGTAAAAAATGTATCGACAAAAAACATATCATGTACAATATTTGTAGCATGTTTCTTAAAAATAAGAACTTATTGTGAAAGGAGCAAAGTATATGTGTAAAAATGATTATTGGTAGGAGTGGAGTGTCTTTGCTAATGAACATAAGGCTACAACAAAGTGCCTAAGTACATACAACGTAAGGTATATTCAGTAATATTTTTATTTGAAACATTGAATGTAACATTCAATATAATAGATATTACTTAAAACTTTCATTTTTAAATTAAAAGAATTTTGTTCTGTGCAACAATTAGAATGCGAATTTTATGCAGCTATAGCATATACCATTAATGATTGTTTAAAACTTAGAATAGTGAGATATTTAGCAAAACTTAACGAGATTTTGACAGATTGATTTCAGTGTCTGTAAATTAGTCTAGACAAACCTATGTTTGCATGAATATCTACAGTATAGTAACAATAAAACAGACTTTAAAGAATTTTATTTATTAAAGGTAATGAATACAAAATAATTGTTGTTTTATATTCAGTACATTAATTAAACAATAGTCTAAGTGCCCAATATTTATATATAAAACTAAGAAACGAATTGTTTAAATGCAATACTAAGAATTCAGTTTTACATTTTCAGCAGGCTACAAAAATCTATATTATGATTACATTGTTATTTCAAGTTATGGAAATGTATACATGTACAGAGCTCGATTCTTTTCATTTAATCAAACTGTTTGTTGTTTCATTCTACATTGGTCGTTGTAATATATAATAGGGCAAGTTTATCATCTTATATTGAGGGCAGCTAGATATTTTGAAACAGGTAAATGATAAATTAGACATTCTTGCATTTGTAACAGAACACCATAAAATAAGGAATTTCATAACGTTTAATAATGTCTTTATTTTATGTTTAACTGAGAAAAACACTTGACGGGGGAAATGAATTTTTCTTTAGTTTCGATATTGACAGCATAATCTGTAAAAACATAAATTTTCATTAACATCCATAGACCTTACCCATTAGTATTGATCTTTAGCTAATCAAAATTTATAATAGAAGCCCTTTTGTATTATGCAATTCCAATATTTTTAATATTATAACAAATAGTATGAAACAATTTCTTAACTGGTAATCTGTTTCAATCTTTTTCAAGAATTTTGTATGCCTATTAAATGGACTTCAATTTCTTCAACTTTTGTATATTTTTTATATTAAAGAAGTATTACGATAATTGTAAATAAAATTTATGAAACTTATTTTCAAAAATCTGGTGGAAGTAACATGTGTGTAAATAAAATAATATTCACAACGGACTTTACACAATTTCTAAACTATCCCTGTTTTAAATAGTACCATTTCGATGTTTTCAAAATATATTATATTGAAGAAGTATTAAGTGGAATTAATATATGTTAGTAACTCGCTACTAATGCTTCGATTTTAGATGAGATCTGTATTCCTCAGAGATTCTAGAACGTGGTTTTATGAGATAGATTCGAAGTTCGTAGCCATTAGCTCGATATTGTGTTCAGTTTACAGTACTTTACCGACGATAATACCGATTGCCCAGGCCTCACCACGAAGAGGTTGCTGCGAGTGGAGGCCCAAGGCAGGTAGATGGAATCACAAGTTCTACATCTACCCACCTTTCACAATAAACCTTATAAATAACTTAAATCTTAACTAAGTAATACTATCGGTACTAAAATCCCTCGGCGGATGACTTCTTTCTTGAGCCTAAACCTATAAAAAACTAAGTTCCCTCGTCGGTTGTCTTCGTTCTTCAGCTTAGAACTAATATTATCTTAATATTCTAATTAATACGAATTAATGCTATTAATACAAAATAACTTAAACTAAACGCAACGTAGTCGCTAATACTCAAACGAAAGAGATAGACGGAATGGAAAAAGTTCCATCGATCATTTCGTTTACGCACCTAGTATTCTATATACCAAGCAGTCATTAAGTCTACGATGAACCACGTTAAACTACAGTATGAACAAGTATCGCGATGAAAGTGTTGTCGCCAGAACCTGGTTAAAGAAAATGGGAAAGACGGGCGACACCTCGCTAACCCGGATCCATCTTTTACTGCCATGGAGCTTTGGGCTGGTCACCTGCGTACCAGACCCGAACCAAAGGAGTACACAAGCATGGTAGTGCAAGCGAGATTCTCTGTTTACGAAGCAGCCTCCCGACTACTCTGTACCCTTGCACGCACGAATCTTTCTTCAAATCCTACTTACCAGGCAAAGACTAAACACGTCCGATATCTGGCTTCTAAATAGAAACCAGAAGGATCTGCAAACAGTCTTAGTGCACAGGCCCACTGCCCGTACCATAGGTACAGACCCACTGTCCGTACCCCAAGTCTGTGTAGAGAATCCACGAGCAAAATGAATTAATAATAATTTGGTATGCACAATGGATGGTCACAATTTAAGTCTATTAATAGATAGACTAAAATTAATAATGATCGATGTGATGATGAATATGAATATAACAATGAATATCGAATTATGATTTAAGTTTAACTTACAGTAACTTAACGCAGTGGTAAACGCTTTGAGGATGTAGACGTTGATCGATGTCTTCTTTCGATGGAATAACTG